AATAATCTACACAGTCAAAGAAATCGGATGGAAGGAATGTCGAATCAATATTTTATGCACTGCTGAGGCGTTGGCAATCCATGAACTCAAACCTGAACTTTGCATGGACAAACGATTCGTTCAATCTCTCATCCTTGACCCTAATCCCCTTTAGTGGTATGTTTCGGTGTTTTTTTCCTTTATTTCTCGATTTTTATTTGATTATTATTGGTTTTTCTAAATTAGTGTTATGTCATTGTAGACTCTAATCAGTTGTTATTATTATTACTACCCTTAAACAAGTTTTCTTGATTATTATTCAATTTCTATTATTATGACTTTTATGTTTGTTGTCTTTTCTTCAGATCTGTCAACTGGACAATTATCTGACCCGTTAATTATTTTCATCCTTCTATAACCCCCAGATTATTACGCAACCTTATGTGATATTAGGAGTCTCGAATCCATTTTATGATGTAATCTTTTCTATTCTCCCATAGATGTATATTTTCCATAAAACTATAAATACGAATGTACAGCTTAAGTAAATGATTTTGTCGAAAAGGAACAGAATTTCCTTCGTTGAATTCACTTTATTCTTATTCAATAACAAAGTTACTTAACAAATTCAGTTGAAATTAGGTTAAACATCTTATTGATCACTTGTATTTTTGAGTTTTATTTTTAACATCGTCGTTAGCTATTTTATTCATATCAGAAGGGTTTTTGTAGATACTCTAGTAATTTTAATGGTTGAAATCATGAGTCAATTGAAGCTAGATCACTATGGAAAGTCTGGACGGCTGTTTCGTCCCATTGTGGGACTACTCAACAATGCGCATCCACGGTCCCGCCTCACGAGATTCGAACCCAGAACCTATCAGTCTCGCACGCGAGCGCTTAACCACTAGACCACACGATTTTTTTATTTCGTTGATTCAAACAATTTATTATTGTTGGTGTACAGGTTTGCTAAAATTCAATTATGCTTATAATATTGAAGTTTCCTATTATGAATTATGTTAAAGATTTAATCATTATGATGTGATATCACTTACATCATGAATCATAAAAGTCTCATCTTCATCAACTATTTCTCCAAAGTGTAATAACCTGATGGATTTCCCATTTGATTAACGTGAAATTAAAACCGTAAAATATCATAAATCCCTTGTGGTTTTGATTTATAAAATATTTTAAAACCTGAGTAAAATATAAAACTCCAACATATGATAATTTATTAATCGTAATAAGCGCACAACTGCTATGAGATTGTCTGTCGACCATGAGTATGCGGATGATACCTTACTGTGTAATGATACTTATGTCATGCAATCCACAACCAAACAATTGGGAATCAGGGTCCGTACAAAGTACTTTTGAAAAACTGACACGCCCCTGAACCTGCACTCTCTGGCTAGTAAACAGATAGAAGTAGTTGAGAAATTCGTTTATCTAGGTAGCTGTGTAAGTGCGGGTGGCGACATAAGTGATGAGACCAATTCACGTACATTGAAAGTCGGAACAGCTTATACCAATCTGGACCATATTTGGCACCCTCATGATCTTGGTCTGGTTGTGAAAGGTCGGGTCTACAATTCGATAGTGAGAGCAGTTTTACTCTATACTTGTGAAACCTTGCTTCTCCAATTCGAGGATGTTCAGCAACTCTGTGCTTGATTGTCGTGGTCTTCCTAGGATTGATGACATTCAGTGACAACACCACATTGGTAATGAATAGGTTAGGGCCAACTGACAATCCAACTGTATTCACCATCTTAAAATATCGAATTTGATTGCTGGTACTTGTACTACGAATATAGTCTCAGGGAATTTCACACCGAGCATTATTTTCCGACACTGGGACTGGTTGAAAAAAGCGAAGAGGTGTTTGATGTATGACATGTTGTGGAATGAAAGAAAGCTGAACAGAACTGATATCTCTTGGTCGGAGTCGTAAAGAAGTTTGCGAAACGTCCCGCTTATAAGCACTGGGTTTCTTCAGGCTCCTTACAACTCATTGAAGCCCGTCGGTCTACTCCGGGTGACCGTGAGTTTGACCACAAACGAAGGTTGTTACGTAGCCAAATTGGGCAAAGCTTGCGTAAGGACCGAGAAGCCTGGTGGTCGAAGCGTGCTAATGAGTTGGAAGCAGCAGCTGCATCTGGTAATTACCGGAACCTCTTCCAACTCATCCGAGCCACTGGCAGCAAGAAGTCTGGTGTGAGTGAAACAATCTGCGAGGATGATGGGATGCCAATCACTAACATCCATCGACGTCTTGGACGATGGGCAGAATTTTTCGAAGGGCAGTTCAACTGGCCTGCTGCTCCGACAGCATCGGTCAAACTGTCCTGCCCCCCATGGCCGGTGACGACTGATCCACCAAATGAGGCGGAAGTCCGCAAGGAACTCCAACTGCTGAAGTGCTACAAATCACCGGGCCCAGATGACTTACCTCCGGCTCTTTTTAAAGATGGTGGTGACCTTCTGACTAAGGAATTGACGACGTTGTTTACAAAGGTTTGGGAACTGGAGAGTGTACCAACGTCATGGAATGAGTCGATAGTTGTCTCTATCTTTAAAAAGGGTTCACGTCGTTCCTGCAACAACTATGGGGGGATAAGTCTACTTCCGATTGCGTCCAAGCTATTGGCTTCCGTCATTCTTCGTAGGTTGTTCAAAACCCGAGAAAGATTGACTCGCGAGGAGCAGGCTGGGTTTCGTTCTGGTCGAGGATGTATTGATCATATCTTCAATCTGTACCAAATGTTAGAACACCGTCATACTTACCAAAGGCCAATAATCGTAGTGTTTCTTGATATTGGGGCTGCCTTCGATTCGTTGGACAGGACTGTTTTCTGGGATTTTCTATTGAAGAAGGGTGTGCCTGAGAAGTTTATTAACATCTTAAAGGCCCTATATACAAACACCTCAGGCAGAGTGAGGGCATACAACCACCCCTCCCTACTGCTTCATTCGAGCAGTGGGGTTAGACAGGGTTGCCCAATCTCACCATTCCTCTTCAACTTTGCCATCGATGACATTCTAGAAACAGCTCTGATGGATGTAAGTAATAGTGGTGTGGATCTGTTGCCTGTAGAAAGACTTCTCGACCTTGAGTATGCGGACGATATTGTCTTACTGTGAGATAATCCCCAAGACATGCGATTCGCGGTTAATCAGTTGGCAATCAGTGTCCGTAGGTATGGTATGTGCTTTGCACTTTCGAAGTGCAAAGTACTTCTACAAGACTGGCAGGATTCCAATCCTGTACTCACCCTGGATGGTGAGCAGATAGACGTAGTCGAGAAGTTCGTGTATCTGGGTAGCTGTATAAGTGCTAGTGGGGGTGTGAGTGATGAGACCAATGCACGAATAGTGAAAGCCAGAGCGGCTTATGCCAATCTGGGCCACCTTTGGCGCCTTCGTGATGTTAGTCTGGCTGTAAAAGGTCGGATCTACAACGCGTCGGTGAGAGCAGTTTTGCTCTATGCTTGTGAAACCTGGTCTCTCCGAGTTGAGGATGGTAGACGACTCTCTTTCTTCGATCATCACTGTCTCCGAAGGATTGCTGACATTCAGTGGCAACACCATGTCAGTAATGCAGAGGTTCGGCATCGTGTGTTCGGGCACAGAGATGATAATTCAATTGGTGTCACCATCTTGAAACACCGACTTCGGTGGCTTGGATATGTTCTACGAATGTCGTTCCACAGAATTCCACGTCGTGCATTATTTGCCGACTCTGGGACTGGTTGGAAGAAGCGGAGAGGTGGTCAGTGCATGAAATGGTGTCGTGGTATGAAAGAAAGCTGCAAAGGACTGGCTTGTGTCGGTCCTTCACGACTCCCTGGTTGGGGTCTGAGAGATGGTGCTACACAGTGGCTAGAGACGTTATCAGATATGGCTCAGAATAGAAGCCAGTGGCGATCCTGCTGTAACCTTCTTTTACTTTCTTCATAAAAGTGGTTGTTTCTTCCTTAACTTAAAGATTTGTTCTGATTGTACCTTTCCGTCCCCCGATTATGACTATGATTATTACTACACTCCCATACACCAATCTCTTTTTCAAAAAAAATTTTTTTTAAGTTCCTCATTTTTTTTCTTCTTAAATTCTCATTGTTTTGTGTGGCGCATATATATTTGGCGCACTCCTGTACAAATATATATGTGTTCAAATAAAATAAAATAAAATCCAACTTAATGACTTGTAACGTATTCAGACATGGCTCAGAATAGAAGCCAATGGCAGACCTACCGTAACTTTCTTTTACTTGCTTTATATAAGTGAAAGAAACTTCTTCAACTGAAAGAATCCTTTCTGGTTGTACTTTACTTAACTAAACTGCTTCCCCCATTAATATTATTAACATTCTAAAACCTCATCTTTATTGTGTGGCGCATACATATGTTGGTGACCTCTTAAACTGACGTTTATATGTTTAAATAAATAAATAATATGAATAATTAGCTATCTATTGTATTCTGAAATAATTGGCATCTATACTCTCTATATTATAACCTGTAAATGTTACAAGTCTTAATCTAGAAATCTCGTACAACAAATAAACGATATAAGCCTATTCATATCGAATCCCCCCAAAACTGAGTTAGTATTCGAACACAACTACTACTAACGAGCAAACCAATAATTAGTGATGACATATTTATGACAGATGAATACAGAAAATTTTTTAACATCATTTAGTAGCTTAACAAAAACAGAAAAAAAGGAAAACAATCTAACGATGCGAAGAAAAAAACGAGAGAAAAAATATTCTTGAAATAGATGAGTAGTAACAAGAAATAGGCTACACATTACTAAAAGATTCAATAAACAGATATATAAATGACGATAATAATTCGCACAAAAACTAATTACTACCATTGGTTGGTTTATCGGCTTTTCAGAATTGAAAACCACAAAGTAAAAAACCACACTAGTGGAAGTAGTAAAAGTATTACATTTTGCAGTAATCTCATTCATCTCTGTCTTCATTTACTAATTAATGAATTCTTTATTTTGGGTAATATGCTCTATAGAATCTATCAGCCAGTATTGATATACGTTTTGTATATTGAATATTATTTTTTGTAGCCCATTCTTTAAGTTTAGTTTCATAATCATTTTTTAGATCTTTTGCTATGTTATTATACTCCTAAAAATTGAATAAATATAACAGTATGGAATAGTTAAAACGATACATGTATATGTATAAGATTAACTTGATGGAACATGACTAGTACCAAAATCTAGGACATGCATTTCATCCCAGTTTGGACTCGTCAAATAGATGTATCTACCATTTAGTGTCCCAGATCCCTCTGCCAGTTACATTTCATTTATCCTATAAAAACGTATAACATAATGCCAATATCAGAACAATTCGCACAAAAGGAACATATACCAGCTAAGACTGATCGGAGTCCAGTTGAAAATATCAACAACGGATGATTCGAACCATAAAAAATTAAATTAAAGAACTACATACACATTGTCAATCTAATATCCTGACTTATAAAAAAAACAAGCAAAATAGATACTATTCTTAGTTGAATGTTCAGTTTACTAAACAAGCGGATTCACACCGTACATTTATGACAGTAGATTATCAACATATCTTGATAGTTTCATCAACTTTGTCAGGTTAGCGATTGACGAAACCCCGACAAGGAATCAGGAAGTTCGTTTGATAGTGCCAAATTAAATAAACTCTGATGTAGGCGAGGCATCTGTCTAACAACGAAGGGGAAACTATATTGAACAGTAGTTTTCTCTGTTTTACTTTAGGGTTATGAAACATGGCCTATTATAGTAAGATATATTAGTGGATTACTGGTACTTGATTATAGGAATCGTTGAGGGATTATTCATGTATGCTGGTGGAACAAAGTAAACAATATTGAGGTTAAATGCGGGTTAGTAATTAAAGATCCCAAGTTAATTGATAAGGTTATGTACCTGTATTAACTGAGGTGGTTGGTCGTACTGCGTATGCTCGACCATCCCCTACATAGACAGATAATGTTAACTGGAGCAGGAACTGGGTTGGAAGTAAGCTAAGAGGGAAATCGAGATACTGCATCAATATTTAAGTCCTTGGCCGTTGGATTGAGCCATGTAGATAGGTGAAGACAACGTGAATAATTTCCGCGCGATAACCGTGACCAGTGGTTGATGTCGGATGAAAAAATTTAGAGTAAGCAACAGCAGCGCATGAACTTGAATTCATACTTTTTTGGTCCTTCGGATCCTGAGTTTCCAAAATAATTTATACAATTTATTCTGCTAATCCATTCTTTATCTTAAACCTTATTTTCAATGCCTAATCTTTTTTACTATCACTAATACTACTTTGGTATTCAAAATAATAATCTCGCTATGTTGATGTGACTTGGAAACAGTCGATGCACATTTGTGCAAGGCTGTACGCTGCTTATGACTGATTGACAGAATAAGATCACCAACAATATTAAGTAATGGTATATGCTAGTTTACTCACAGTAAGCCTTTCCTGTTTCTATGCAAACTATCATTATACATAACTGTAGCGAGTAGCTAGGTATCTCTAACACAGATCCTAACAACCTCAACAAATGAAGATTCACAAACGCATTAACCAACTTTTACACCTTTATTTAGAAACTTAAGCCTATGTTCTACATCATTCGCTCGATGATTTTACTGGCTGTGAGCAATGCTTCGAAGACACGTAAGATCGAATACTTGAGACTTACACATATCCTAAACTTCCAGACGCCAAGTTGCATAGCTATAAAATAGAGAACGGATTAGTGGGCTGTATACTCGCCTTTTGATAAGTAGGTGGATATATTGTCCGTACCACACCTGAACACACTTTGGTATATATCAAGATTTTGCTACACGATGCTCCTCTAAAACTGGTCATTCCCGAAATAATTGGAGTTTTAATATGACTAAACTATTTTACTTCCTATGGTCAAATTACAAAAAGGAAGCAAAACAAAACAGAAACGATGTTTTGGATATCGATGGGCGATTAGAAAACTTCATACCTGGTTAGTGACTAAACCAGACATAGCTACGTTAGCCATGTATTTCAAGTCAATCAACATCGCTATAGGTAGAAGATGGATTCAGGAAATTAGGAGAAAATATTATCTTTATGAGCACATCTGTTGTAGTGATTTACTTCTTGTTCTCTTCATTTCAACCTTTCGCTGCCAGGCATTCCACTTTCGATTGGTGCACATACTACTTATGTCTGTCAGTATAAGTAGCATACACCACACACTGATAAAATGTTGGGATATTCAGAGAAATATCCCAAAAATTATCCTGTTAAGCCTAATGCTATCCTTGGACATGAAATGGTATCATCTTATTGGTCAATATTTATTTAACGTGTTATTTTCCTGTTGGCCATTATTGTACAATGTTATCTTCTATTTTATGGTACGTTGTGGACTGCTTGACTGGTATATAAACAAAGTATGTTTGAAATATAATGATTCATATATCCGAGGCTGTGACTTGCGTTCTGGACTCAACTGGCTGGGTTAGACAGGGAAGCGAGACCAATCAGAACCCTAGGTCGTTCTACGTGTTTGCGCGTCTTTGGTCCGATCAATAATTCGCTACCCCTTAATCAGCATTACTTATTTTCACAGTTATAACATAAAATCAACTGAAAATATGGAAAGTGGGCAGAATTAGAGAGCGCCACTTGATGTAGCCAATTCAAATGGGAGTTTGCCTTAAATTCTGACTTGACGGATAGTGGTTTGTATAAAAAGCAATCAGCTGGCTTATGTACTTCTTTGATAATCGTTTCAACGACAGACACTGCTATAGGAAATCACTTAAGACTTCCCCGAAAAATTCAATATTTATTATGCTACTTTCGGATTCAATTCATAATGCTACACCCCTAAACAGTAAGAAGTCTATCGGAGGTTAATAAGAGTGCGCATAGACACTGATAAAAGTATTTAATGTTAGAAACAAGACAAATGCTTAGTCAATTAACTGGTCACAACAACTTTAACAAACATTACTAGAACATTACCATTTCAAATACAGAATAACGATGAAAAATACTTCATTCATTAACTTAATTGTCTGCTATGACAAGGAAGGCTTTATAGTTATTTAAACTAAAGAAAAGGGTTATGAGAATTCTCATGGTATCAACTTATAACTATATGTTCAAAAAAATATTCACAAACACCTTTTTTACAAAAAAGTGAATAACTATACCCCCAGATATTTTTGAATCCAACAGCAAAAATGGTATTATCTATTATCAACATGGTGTATCAGTTGATCAACTTACCAGTTGATCAGATTCAGGCAGCGACATCCATTGTTTTACAGTATCTTTAAAGTCATTTCGCATTTGAGACACTGGTGTACCCTGAAAAAATAAAAAAATAACCATGAATAGATAATCATCTACACATATCTGACAGTAGTTAAACACTAATAGTCACAGAGATTGGTTGAAGTGGAGAAGTTAACTAAAAAATTTTTAAAAATCAATATCAGTAAGCTATTACCACCAGAATTCTAAAAAAACATGGGTAGTCATTTAGATGGTGTCAATTTACCCTAGTTTGTACACATAATGATACTGTAAAAAAACTTATTCATATTGTGATTAGGTTGAGAAGCATCTTGGTCGTTAATAAACCATTCGAACAGTGACTCTTGATACCCATCAAGTAAACGAATGACTACACAATAAGTCACAAAGCGATCTCCCGTGATAAATGTTGCATTTGATCGTCATAAGGATCACAGGTGGACACATTAGATACACTATTTTCTTCTGTTCTTATGCGAACCAACAATTATTTAATATGGGAACAATTGATTAGTTAGAAATTACACTGATATGGCAGTATTCACTGACAGATTTACGTGCATAGGAAACAATATTTAAGAAATCGGTGCATAAACTTTTAATTATTACACCATAAATCAGTTAGATAAAACTTAGCAGAAGAAACGTTAAATCACTAAGCGAGAAGTGTAGTTAATAAGTTGAACCCCCCCAGCCAATTAGTAATACTCAGGAAACCAGTAATGTTAGACAGTATTCTTTATTCGAAAGGTTCACAAGGATGTACCCAAAACCAACAATTCGGAGATAGGCATGAGTAGATTTGAGATTAATCATAGTTGAAAATGGACTCAAATAAAAAGTATCTCATTTTTGAAGTACCTACTACAATCACGCAATTATCCCCATACCTATATATTTGACTACCAGGAACAGGCAGCTGAAAAGTTTCCCTAAGACCGTTTACAGTACTAGGTCAAGTGTACATGTATGGGAGAAGTTGTCAAACGAATATTATCATGATTTCACTTGAAATATTTAGCCTGCTACTGTAACAGAAGTAAAGACACGTTATAACTTAAGACGGAATTTTCCCAAAGATGAAGAGACCGCGGCAGCATCGTACTAATTTATCTAGGTCCGAACACGTATGCTAGCAGAGTTCGAGATGAGAAGAAAGTTAGGATAAGTGTAAATTCGTTAAGGCTATGAGTAGATAAGGAGACAAGTAAAAGCTATTTAGTCTTAATAATTACACCAGGCAGGAAAACGCGATGGTTACTAAAGCTATCACCGAATACGAACTACCGAGAGCTTCTTGGAACAGGTACATAAAAACATGAGCGCCCTAGTCAAAACCGTAACAAGATGATAAAATCACACCCTGTCCTAAACATGCAGCGAAGTTAAGAAGGCTGTGAGAAACCAAAAAGGTGAAGCTAAATGAACAAAAGGTACATTTTAGCTCATTTTTTAGATTGACGCTCAAAAAATTCTAGTCAGATTAACCGAGGACTGTCCCAATAGATTGATCTCGATTATCGATAGTTTCGGTTTCTGGAAAAAACCGAAACTGTCTTGTAATAGTGACAGAATAACCAGTTCGATTTACGCAAATATTAAAGCCTTACCATTCAATCATCCGAACATCGTTTACTGGAGAGCATAGGAACATCAAACTTATTATGTATTTATTTATTTATTTGATTAGTTAATTTATTTATTTCATTAATTAATTAATTTATTTATTTGAATACATAAATATTGGTACAAAGGAGAATCAAGTACATATGCGCCACACAAGTCACTTGGTTTTGTGTGTGGGCTATGATACTGCCCGGGTGCCCAGATCGAAACAGGTGATATTTTTAAGGGACCACAACCGGAGCCTTTGACCTAAAGCTCTGATCCACAAGGTAGTGGAACAACGTCTGGAGATGCAGTCCCATGGTAGCCGGTCACCAACGATTGGTTCATACGTCATTTGTTCCTTCAGGATTCTGGAGCCCATGTGCACCATTGGTTTGAAATCAGGGTTTTTTAACTCTCCTAGGTGGATCCTCCATATCCACCAACCCGGTTAAAGCACTAGACATTCGCTTTTCATCCTCTCAATTTCGTAAACAACACCGCTGCCACAAGGCAGTGAGTAGGACTTTCCTGGCAGTGGCTATATACGCGTGGCCATGTGAAAGCATTTAGAGAGGGAGAGCGAACCCTCTCCGACCTCGGCCGTACCAGCGCATTTGGGGGCCCAGACTTACAAATTCAAGCAAATTTAAAATAGTCATTCACATACTTCAAATTTACTTCGTCTTTAAACCGACATCGATAAAAAAGCCGCAAGCCTCGGTGACCTGAAAATTATGTACTCATAATAAGCCTGATAAACTTTAACTTGAAGCAAGCAGCCAAGAAATAGGAATTAAACGAATAAATGTTTACAGAATTTACCGCAAACAATAACTGAAAACATTCAAAATCTAGTACGTAGATCTACTTATAGAGTTCATACGAGTTACCTAAAGCGTACTTTGTTGAAACTTATAATAAAAGCAGATTCTATCAATTTTTCTTAAATAAAACACTTTCACTTACAATATACGACATAGTATATTTCATTTCAAATGTCCAGAGCAAAATAAAAACAAGCTACTATTAACCAACAGTAAAAATGTATTTTTTTATACTCATACAATCATAAAGGCCTTTATCACTCAATTCCAAATTCAGATACATGCTTTTAGACTACAAGATTAAAAGATGAATTTGGTGTTCATCTTGTTGTGCTAATGAGGGGTGGCAACTTGGACCGATGCATATATGTGCCTGGTCCTACGTTGCAGTTGACTGACTGATTGACAAGAACCTAAATGTTACAATATACACAGGATTTTTAATCTCGATGAAATGGTTTCATCTAAATAATAACGGTAACTTACCTTAGAATCCTTTAGTTTTTCTCTCATAAAAACTTTGAGTCCAGAGTTTGGTGGACTTTTTGGCATTCCATTACGATAAGCAAACTAAAATTGCCACAGTGAAAAATTATTTCATAACATATAGCAATAAAAATACTCCATAAAAAAATTGAAATGAAAAAGAGCAGTGTACAGGTATTGAATGAAATTAAGAAACAAAATACCATGTTCGTGATTAGATTTTAACTAGTGATGTAGTTATTTTCAATCTTCGGTTTTGTTATCCATCGATAGAAAAATCAATCTACTGATCGGAAAGGTGCTAGATAATATTTTTAAAGCTTCATACATCATGTTACTAATAGAAAATAGTGATTATCAACGAAGTTGAAAAACATTTTAGTGTCACACTGAAATGTGAATGTACAATAAACGAGAAATATGAGTTACTGATAAACGTAGAGTGATAACTAATACAGACATTCCGCTAGTTTAAATACCAATTTTAGTTACACTAGAATCGCTAGTAGTAGACTACCCAGTATTTTATATGGTTCAAATTAGTAATCAGATTAGTATACCAAACCAAACTCCTGAAGTTTAACTTTTTTGAAATAAGTAAAGAATGCAAAAACACTTTATATATGATAAGATACATGTGGTATTTAATAGCAAGAGCGAATTCATTTAAGTTTCAGTTTGCCTTTACTATTCTGATTTCTGAAAAGTATTAATTATATCACAGTAATTTCAAAGGATGAATCTAATGTTCATGTTAGAGAGACACTAAATATCTTAAATCCAAATTCCCATTGTGAAACAAATATCAAGAATTCAAATAAAAACTTCACATACTGTGCACGGGGGTATACTTTCTACTGTTTCATACCAACCTTGTTTCACTAACCGATGATATTCGAAGCGTTTGGTATAGTCATATTGCGATTGTGAGATAATATGACTAACTATCGGTAAACATACTTGCTATATGAGTTTTTCTAGGAGAGAAAACTGTTTTAAGTTTACAGTATATATCTCAACAACACTACAAACACCAACAACTATTCCCCGCAACAAGAACAGAGCGACGTCACCATTTACATCCTTAAAACCAACGGTAAGAAAAATATTAAGTTCTTTCAGAAAACAAATCAACAAGTGATAAATCAAGAGAATAAACAGTCAAAAATATAACCTTGGTCGCTTTTTTGACATGAGATTGATGTTCTTTCGCTTCTAATTTTAACTTTTCTACCTCTTCGACTGGAAGTGATTTGTACAACTGTGCTAACTTTCTGATCACATCATAATTTGATAGCTCCGGTTTTGCGGACTTGACCTCATGATATCTCGAGTGAATGAAATTTGTAAACGCGTTACTGTTGTTATGAGCTGAAGTTGATGTTATCTGTCGCAAAATTACAAAGAAATTGCTACACAATGAAAAGAAATTTGGCTTACTTGATTGAAAACGGAGAAAGCTGCATGTAATTGGAGCGAAAATAACTTTGAGTAGCAGGTTTAATGCTGTAACAAGAATTCAGAGACTGGATTTGAAGACTAAAATTAGAAGGTTCTGTCAATTCACAAACCGATGTGTAGTCATCCCAAATAAGCCCAAAATCCACTGAACTACATGCACCAAAGGCGGAAGGAGCGACTTCAAAGAGGTCTATAAGAAATAACAATCCAGGAAAGGTTTCTCCTGTGCCCTGCACTCCAAGTGGGAGCAGTCAGGAGACACCTAGAAAACCTAATCCGTAAAGCTAGGTCCGTTTCCAGCACAGAAAACAACCTGGTCACCTAAGTCATCGACAATCATTGAGGATCTCACAGTATGTTTAACGTAACTGTGATTGTAACTCTAGTGAAAGCTGATGAATGGATACAAATCAAGAATAAGAGACGACGTAATATTGATAAAAAAATAGTCTCCTGAACAGTAGTTGAGAAATCAAAGGCTGATCATAATGACAAGGTAGTCATCTTTGAGAGTCAAGGAGAGTGAAAGCTTTGAACCTAGAAACTGCTTTGACCATGACATTGAGTTGATAAAAAGTCTAATTAACCAACTAGTGTATGAAGATATCTCTGGGGCCGCCTTACTGAAAGTTTATCAACTAGGTAGCCAAGCAGACTTGGAAGAAAATCAAACTAGGCTGTTGAAATTGGTATTTCAATAGCAATGAAAGGGACACGGAGGGTATACCTAGGGGAGTTGGAAAACCTTGATTTCAAACCAATGGTGTACATGGGCTCCAGGATCCTGAAGGAACAAATGACGTATGAACCAATCGTTGGTGACCGGCTACCATGGAACTGCATCTCCAGACGTTGCTCCACTACCTTGTGGATCAGACCTTTAGGTCAAAGGCTCCGGGTGTTGTCCCCTAAGAAAACCACCTGCTTCAGTTTGGGTGTGCGGATAGTATCCCAGCCCTCACATAAATCGTATGGTTTATGTGGGGCATATCTATTTGGTGCCTCGTACCAATGTTTATGTGTTTAAATAAATAAGTACAGAGAGACTATCGTTTCGGGTGTAATCCCCGTTACACGGTGAGAGAGCTCCATTTACTCTACAGGAATACTTTGATCTTTCGCTGCAGCCCAATCTTCTCTTACAATGAGCAGATTTGTCGAGCATGATAGGCCTTTTAAATAAACCGTTATTCCCTGGATAAAATATTATGCCTTTCCACATAGTTTATAACAGCCATCCATTAGTTTTACAACTGTACTGGTTAGACTAACGGGACGATAGTTACTAAGTCTCTGCTCTCTAATGTACAATCCTTGGTCCTCTTTTTTTAATTTTATGTAAATGAATTACTAACTGTAACAAAGTTAACCGTCCTACTCTTCGCCGATGACAAAGATTTGGAGACCCATAAACAGTATGTCAGATAGGATAGTAATACATGATGATCTCAATTCATTGTTGGAAGGGCGGGTGGCCACTAGAAGTAAGTTCTGTGGTGATGCAACTAAATAACTACGATTAATCATAACACTACACAATACGTGGAGTTGTGTTGCCCAAAGTAATGGGCTATAAAAATTTAGGAGTCATAATAAGCAGCGACCTCAAAACTACAAGCAACTGCAAGGCTAATGTTGCCAAAGGCTTTAGGGTATTATGGGCTATTCGTAGGTCGTTTCAGTACTTGGAAAAAGAAATCTACAGAGTATTATACCCGACTTTCGTGACACACCATTCGGAATATGGGATTCAAACGGGAAGTTTAGTCCTAACGTGATTTGGATTCCTCAAACTTTTGCTGTGTTCTTACGCAACAAAAGTACCATTTCTGATCTAAGGAATCTATTCTAAGCTATGTGTTCTGTAGATTACTTTTCTTCGAGTTTCACCTAACTTAATAGTTAACTGTGGTTTTGCCTCAGCTTACTGCTCAGTTTTTCACGTAAAGGCTAGTTCAGTTTATCACATCCGTTTTTATCCATTTTTGCCCGTTTTTAGTGTATTTTTTAACGGTCTTAGGGTTTCTCTAGCATCTATAATACAGTTTACGTAAATATAGTCATTAAAAATTCATGCAAACGACCTCGATGCCGTTTTGTTCTTACATCTGGCATGCCGTGCGATAACTGCAAAGGTTGGTTCCATGAAGCGTGCGCCGATCTCACAGCAACTGCTTACAACAGACTCAACAAGTCGGATCATAAGTGGGTGTGTTACGTGCAACACGGATGCTGTAGTTTTGCTGAGTAACATCATTGTCCTATTGAAAGGTCTGCGGAATAAGTTGTCAGCAAACTTGGAAAAAGTCATAAAACGAGTAGACAAACAAGGACGCGCAATGAAAACAAGAATAGGGATGTCGACAGGTCTACTATCGATGAAGCATGCATTAGCACTAGTGATGACATGCTGAAACTCGGCACTATCATAACTTCGACGGTAATAGACTCCCTCAGCAAAATCGGGTCTCCCAGCTCAGGGTCCTTGAAAGCAACAGTGGGTCCCGAAAACTCTGTAGGTGATTGGACCCACGTTAACAAAGCTAAAAAGGACCAGGCGTCACCGTCTAAGCTGAACATCCCAAGTATTGTACGGAAATCAACTGGTGATTTCCCGCACAGTCTACCCCCAGGAATTTCCATCCGGTTATCAAAGAGCCTAGGAATCAGAAACGTGCTTCGACCTCCAAACAACAAGGTGCTGAACCTGAACGCACCGGAAAACCTGGGAAAACAATAACGGTTCATGATGACTCTCTCATAATCATGAACCTCAAAGACAACCCTGACCTTCCCCTCAGTTTGCAGGACAAAAATGACAGGATGCTCTGGGGAGAATTGAACAAGAAGCTTGAACTTCCTAGAATAGAGCCTTTGACGGTGACACGGCCCACTCGGGGAAAGGAATCTAAGCAACAAAATCACCCGATGCTACTTCGTGTTACACTCGCTAACGCTACCGACGCAGAGGATGTGCTGCTAGCTAGTCATTTACTGAAATCCGATGGGAAAGTAAGAATACTGCCCAACATACCGTATTCTGAGCGCAGTCTCATCCGGAACATCCCTAAAGAATCTCGGAAGTTTTTTGCAGAAGAAATATCATTGTGCAAAGTGTACCGGAAAACACGAACCCTAGTCAAGCAAACTCTGATATTAAGGAATGGATATTCATCAAGCAGTCTTTGAGGCTCAAAAACATACTAACTCAACATGTGACGAGACTAGCCAAGAAGGACGGTGATTCTAGACCCCGGCTAATGAGGATAGTTTTCCCATCCTCCCATATGGCGGCTGCAAATCGGGAAGCACTTCGTGCCAACAGACGTCGGTTGCCAACTGGAATCCATATGCAGTCAGTCAGTCAGTCAGTAACAACGTAGAACTTCGTACGTATGCACCCGGAAGAAGCTCACGCGTTTCAAATTGAAAGCATAAACTACTTATACACGAGCGCCGCGAGTCTACCAAATAAAATGGATGAGCTACGTGAACTTAGCAATGCTAATAAGGCTCATCTGATAGGAATATCTGAAACTTGGATATCTTCTCAGTTTACGGACCAAGAACTAGCAATACCTGGGACGTCTTTGTTTCGCAACGACAGAAAAACAGGGATTGGAGGTGGAGTAGCCGTATGCATACGATACTGCCTGGAGGTACACCAAGTTCACAACCATGAGTTCAAAAATCTTGATGAACCTGTATGGTGCTTTGTAAGATTGTCTACTACTTCAAGGTGCCTAGTCGGGGTCATCTATGGGAAGCTCACTGCTGACATCGAGTATAACAGTCGTATGCTGGGAGGACTATCCCGCTCTACGCGTCTCGGATTTACTCATATCCTGATTCGAGGGGCCTTTAATCTCCCTAGAGTCAATTTCGTGGAACATACGTATATTGGAGGTGAGAACTCAACTGAAGCTCGGTTCTTCAACATCAATGAGGATCTGAGATCACACGAGAATGTGAAGTCGGCAACCCGTTGGAGAGACAGTCAGATACCGTCGCGCTTAGACTGGGCATTTACAAACAAAGAACTTCTAGTTGACAACCTTTCAATCCTGGCTCCCCTGGGAAAAAGCGACCACACCATTATAGTCTTCAGTTTTGTCAGCAAAACTAAGCTAAGATATCCCACCAACAACAGGTGCTGGAATTCCAAACGGTTGAATGTGTCAGCTCTACAGGACTATCTACAACATGTGGATTGGGATGTTCACCCTCAACTTGATGTAGATGCTCATTGTGACTTCTTACTGCACACGCTGTTATGTGTTACAAAGCAGCCAGTCCCACAAACGGTCCCCAATAGCTACAAGCAACCTACAATCATCAAGAACCGCGCTCTCCGGTTGCTAAGCCGCAAAAGGCAGTGTTAGACAGAATACAAACGAACTGACAACAACGGCGCGTACAGACAATACAAACATATAAGGAACATATGCACAAAGGCTATAAGAGAAGATAGGCTCCAGTACCAGATAAAGCTTGCGGATAAATTCGTCTCCAATCCGAAAAGCTTACTCCGCTATGTAGCCTCTCTTCGTCAAGCCAAAACTGGAGTTTCCCAGCTGCTAGGTCCTAATGGCCCGACCAATAACGACGGCAACGCCGCTAACCTTTTGTCTAAACAATACTCTCGGACATTTCAACCGACCCACATCAACTATACTGATGACAGCTTCATCTGCAACTGCATAGGACTTTCTGAAGTGAACCTGAGCGCTGACTTGATGTTCCGGAAACTACAGCACCTGAGAAAAGACACTTCTGGCCCAGACATGGTTTATTCTGCTATATTGAGAGAAGCAGCTTCAATCCTGGCAACACCGCATAGCGTGATGTTCTCACACTCGCTAAGCTGAGGAAAAGTACCGGAAATTTGGAAGCTGGCTAACATCACACCAATTTTCAAGGTAGGTCGACGCAGCGAACCTTCAAGCTACTGACTGGTGGATCTTCTCTCTATACCTTCAAAAATTATGGAGTCCCTGATATGCGATGGTATATATGACTACTTACTGTCCTTAAATTTCTTCTCACCCCAAGAGCATGGTTTCACGAAGGGTTACTATTGTATAACCAACCTGCTGACTGCGGTGGACAGATGGACAAACATCCTTGATCGCAAGGGGAAGGTTGATATCATTTACCTTGATTTCTCAAAAGCTTTTGATAGGGCCAACCATATGTGTCTTATCAATAAGATCAAACGATTGGATATCAGATCACGTCTAATTGATCGGCTCATTTCATATCTGAAAAATCGATATTTTAAGGTCAGGGTTAACTTCGCATTATCTCAGGCTATGGAATGTCCTAGTGGGGTCCCCCATGGCTCAGTACTAAAACCTCTTCTTGATTTATATAAATGACCTTCCACAACAGGTATCATCAAATTACTTTTTGCTGATGACGTGAAAATTTGGAGAGAGAGAGAGAGACACGCAGGCAAGAGGATATACAGGCACTCCAGGAGGATCTGACTTGACTTCAAAGTTAGGCAGACGATAACGGACTTACCTTTAACACTTCAAAGTGTAAAGTAGTCCATCTACGACATGTTGCAGACTACAGTTACAACTTAAGAAACTCCTCTCTAGTAGTATCCCGAGTCAAAAAAGATTTAGGAGCCCCAGTACCCTACGATTTAAAGTCCTACGCTAACTGTGACAGAAATGCCTTTCGAGCAAACCTTGCACTGATAACATTGAAGCGCATTCTTGGCCAGTTTGACGGAAGAGCTTTCCACATAATCTTCAACAGTTTTATTCATCCCCATTTAGAGTACGGAAACAGTATCTCCACCCTCACTCCAAAAGGATATGGACACTCTGGAGCGTACCCAACGGCAAGCCACGAAATCAATTCGGGGACTCAAATTCAAACCTTATGGAGAGCGCCTCCAATCACTTGACCTTTACCTATTTGAGTATAGGAGTCTTAGAGGTGACCTTCTAATAGCTTACAGTATCCTTAACACTTCTGGACATCCGCTTAAACATCTACTTAAGCTTAGTCCCAATACAAACCTAAGGGGTAACACCCAGAAATTGGAGATACAACATAGCAGAACGGACTGTAAACACAATTTCTACTCCTTAAGAGTTATCAAATTCTGGAATTAGCTGCCAGCTAATCTAGTCCAAGTAACTCCTCAGGAGTCCTTTAAGGGAAAACTTGACCTATTCTTAAGGACTAAGGATAACATCTTATTATGATTTACCAATTTCTTTTTTTCCTCTACTATCGTTAATATACCTGGGCTCCTATCTGGAGGTTTTGGTGATCCATTGCTACTAGACACGGAAGCCCGTTAAGTGAAAGCTTCTTCTATTCCGTCCACAACCATTTGAAGCAGCGAGCCCTTGTTTCAAGCATGGGGCGGATATGCTCCAACGAGTATAACGACGAGAGACTGAAATGGTCTTTCCGGTCTATTTCAGTCTCCCTATTTCAGGGAAAATTTTGTCCATTTCGGGTAAATTTTGGCAAAACTGTAGTAGGAAACTTTGATGAAATAGCCCACAAACTCCGATCGAAATTTCCCCAGAATCGTACAACACTTTGAGGTTTTTCCCAAAACTTTGCGGAAACCCACCTAACTTTTCACGAATTAGGGAAAAAACCCAAAATCCACCCAAAAGACCCCAAACTTTTCCCAAAATAGCGATTTGAATTGGAAGACTCAGAGCTCATGCAGTGTTACAAACGAGGCTTGGAGAGGAAATTTTCCTTCTGCTCAGATATATCATAAAAAATTTACAACACGTAGCCAATTACTAAGAAAATAAGTGACTTAGAGGCATCATGTGAAATAACGACAACAACACACCCTTTCGTACCAATCAATTAGATGACCTACACAGAACCAATCATCGACTTTGTAGGACAAACAAAGTAACGACAAAAAAGACTTCGCGCACTATTCTTGTAAGCAGTATTCATGGTACTATGATGATTGCAATTCTCTTTCAATACGTAAATTAACGTAAATTCTCGATGTAATCTGTGATGATAAGTATTGCTCTACATTCAAGTCAAGTGAATATCTAATTAAGCACCGTATACTTCGCTCATAAGTTTTTATCGTTGTAAATGTTTCGTTAACTATATACATGGCAAAATTGTACTTGTTTCATCACTTTCCAGAGCCGAATCGATTTATGGTGGTAAACAAATCCTCAAAATCAATAGTCCTGTAAGTCTTCGACATTGGATGCTGACCACATTAGTCTTACTGGGCTCACCTAGCTGAAGGCGCTCGGTCATGCATCCGCACCAGATCACGAGTGGGAACGCCGTGCT